TGAAGGGGGTGAGAACGGGACCGCGGGCATCATCGATGACATGCCTAGAAAAGTGTTCGCTCGCATGCCCGTGCTTTGTAATCAGAATATGAACTAAGCTCTGCGGCGGATCGCCGTCGCATTTCACGTGGAACCACACTTGGATTGCAACGTGGCCACGATTGCGACCCATCAAAACTATGTCACCACGTTTGATGTTTTCTCCATGTTCGGTGTGCGCTTCAATGGTCGAGACTGCTGCATGCGTGCCTGGCCGCAGCTGCTGCAAAGCACTCAACAAGCGTTTGCTTGCAGCTGTGGCGCACTCGAACTCGCACTCCAGTAACAACCCGCGGATGTTCTGTAGGTCATGCGTGTGCTGAGCCGTGAACTGGATCATTACAGCCTTCTCGGGCCTCGTCTTGCACAGGTGGTCCTTTGCACATAGTTTGACATGTTTGTGTTTCCGCTTTTGGACAACACATAATAAAGCACCATGCCTCTCAAACATATCAGCCAAGTGGATAGCCATGTGATGCTTATACACCCAATACTTGGTACCATATGCACGCTGGTGAAGCTCCAAATGTTTCAACACTGCTGACTCAACCTCGTCGCGTGTGCATGGCAATCGCCTCGACGCGCAGAGAACAACATCCACGGCGTCACATAACGCCATCATGCTTGCTATCTGGTCTGCCACTACTGTTGCAGCAGAGTGGTGTTTGGATGGTCATGTCCACTTCGTGAAGTAATCGTGGAGGTCGTTGGCGCTGCACAGTTTCTTGAAACCTTTGTGCTCTAGGAGGGCCCTGACGTTCTGCTGCACGGGAGCTTCTGCATATAAACAACGCAACCCCATGCTCGTATGTCCACGCGTGTAGCTTGCGAATTTAGCTTCGCATTCATGTAAAGGCACTTGGCCACCAGAATATTTCATTATCTTATCGTTGAACGCTTTGACCTTCTCATATTCCGCCGAGCCTGTTTGCAATTTCATGCGCGCTGGATTTTGAAGGGCCGGGTTCTTGAAACCGTTCCTGCATATTTTTACGATGAGATTTAGCACATCGCTCGGGACAACCCCATCCCCATACCTGTTTTCCATGCACACGAACATGCATTTGCTATGAATCCTCTCCACCCTGATGCAATCGATGCCAGACCGCTGCGCTATGGCGCAGACCTCTTCGAACAAAGAAACAACGGGGGCGTCTGGCTGCTCATACGCAGCCTTGATTGCATGCATATCCCCAACAACCTTCTGTATGTTCAGTTCACGCTTGGAGGTCATGACGCCTCGCGCGGAAACCACCTCTGTTGAGCCAAAAGCTTATACGGTGCATGCATGCATATATATATATATGCAAATGAACATTGCAATCTTGCAATCGCACCCTTCGAAATTCACGAATGCATTGCACCGATCGCACTCTCATGGGGGGGGGTCAGGCAACACCCGAGCAACGTCATGCCGAAAAACGAATAGCAACATTGAAAAAACCTAAACACCAGGGAAACCAGCCTACACGTCATCGTTTTCCCAACATCTGTTAAAAGTTAGCAGAGTTGCTAACTTTTCTAACTCCGCGTAACTAGACTTAATAGAGGGACCAAGTTAGCGAAGTTAGTAAGTTCATAACCGAGTTCTAACAAACCATACTTACTTATAACATGCTTATAACATAGTTATAACATGTTTACAACTCACGGTAACACTTATTAACCACGCCGATCCTTTAGGTGGTTTCTCTCCTGAGGACAGGCAGATGATGTCTCAGGTGAAATGTTTGTTTTACGTATGTCCTGTATTGATATATATGTTCGGGGGGCGCTTTTCGTTTCCCCCCGCCCCCCAGGAGGCCCCAGGAGGCTTGAGAAGCGTGAAAACACATGGTTCCCAACGCACCAGGCTGGACAAATGTGAAAACACATGGGTTCCTAACGCCCCAGGGCGGGATAAGCTTGAAAACACATGGTTCCTAACGCCCCAGGGCGGGACACACTTGAAAACACATCGGTTCCGAACGCCCCAGGGCGAGAGAAGCGTGAAAACAAATGGATTCCTAACGCCCCAGGGCAGGACAAGCGACAAGCGTGAAAACATATGGCTCCCAACGCCCCAGAGCGGAAGAAGCGCAACAACACATGGTTCCGAAGGCCCCAGGAGGCCCCAGGAGGCTCAAGGAGGCCTCACGAGGCTCCAGGAGGCATTCTTTTGTATTGTGATATATGTTCGGGGGGCGCTGTTCGTTCCCCCTGCCCCCAGGAGGCCCCAGGAAGCCCCAGGATGTTTTTTGATTGTATTGGGCACGTGTTCGGAGAGCGCTTTCCGTTCCTTCCTGCCCCCCAGGAGGCCCCAGGAGGCTCGATAAACATGAAATCACATTGGTTCCTAACGCCCCAGGGCGGGAGAAGCGTGAAAACACATGGGTTCCAACGCCCCAGGGCGGAGCAAGCGCGAACACACATGGGTTCCGAACGCCCCAGGGCGGGAGAAGCGTGAAAACACATGGGTTCCGAACGCCCCAGGGCGGGAGAAGCGTGAAAACGCATAATGCCCCAGGGCGGGCCAAGCATGAACACACATGGGTCCCCTGGCACGTCCCGTGGTACGTCCATTGGCACGTTCCGTAGCGCGTCCTCTTGGCACGTCCCGTGGTGCGTCCCCATGGCACGTCCTTTAGCACGTCGCTTGGCGCGTCCCTTGGGGCGTTTTGCGGCGCGTCCTCCTAGCATGCCACCCTGTCAATTAGCTCTGGGGGAGCTTCTATGTGCTCAGGCAGCTCGAGCGTAGGATCCAGATCAGTTCGGTCAGGACTCGGATGCAAAGGAGGACTCGATCCACAACGCTATAGAGCACAATCGCGGCATGGCACATCGCAATTCAGCACGGCGCAGCACAGCACAGCTTTCGGCACGGTACATCAAGATCGATGCACTCAGCATTGCGTCTGCCCGTCGCCCAATCAGGTGATTTTGAAACGTTGCCATGGCTTACATTTCTATATTCCTTTACGGGTTCGTGGGTCGATCATGTTAGTTCTGTTTCCCCCCAGTGCCATGCTTGTAAGAAGCCAGCGAAACTATTTGCTATGAATAACAAGGTGAAGTCCCATTCGGCGTGGAAGAAATGCGTTTCGCGCTTGTCCGCTCGAGGAAAATGCGCCCCCCCATGTCGGATCCTCGTTGCCTAATGGGGTCCGCAGACCCACGCTTTCCATAGTAAAAAAGAGGGTGCGGAGCGTTATGCGCAGAACCCCTACTAAATAACGAGGTTTGGAGCCCCGACTGGGACACAAAAGACGTGAACATGTTGATTTTTCGCGTGCCCGCTCGAGGATGGCGCATCCTGCGCGCAGAGATTCTGGGGATGTCTCGGGCGAAACGCTCGTTTTGCAAAATTTCATGGGCCTGGGCTCCAGGATGCCCAGGGGGGGGTGGGAGCACGAATCCAGCGTAATTTGCGAGGGATCGCGGCCTTGGGAGCGCAAATCCCGCGTACATTACAAGGGCTCGGGGCCTGGGAGCGCAGATCCAGCGAAATTTATTAGGGATCGTGGCCTCGGGAGTGCGGGGGCTGCGTAATTTTTACGTGCTGAGGCCACCCAGGGAATATCTAACATGGTCGCCCCGAGGAAGGACCACGTGTTTTAACGGGTCCAGGCCACCCAGGGATGTATCTAACATGGTTGCCCAGAGCTGGTCTCACGTGTGTTTACGTGTCCAGGCCACCCAGGGGGTTATCTGACATGGTTCCCCCGAGCTCAAACCATGTGTGTTTACTTGTCCAGGCCACCCATGATGGTATCTAACATGATTGTCCCGAGCTGACACCACGTGTTTTTACGTGTCCATGCCACCCAGGGAGGATATCTAACATGGTCGCCCCGAGGAAGGACCACGTGTTTTAACGGGTCCAGGCCATCCAGGGGTGTATCTAACATGGTTGCCCAGAGTTGGTCCCACGTGTGTTTACGTGTCCAGGCCACTCAGGGGGGTATCTAACATGATTGTCCCGAATTGGAACCGCGTGGTTTTACGTGTCCAGGCCGCCCAGGGGGGTATCTGACATGGCGGAACCAGGTGCTTTCACGTGTCCAGGCCACTTAGGGGGTATCTAACATGGGCCTCCTGGGGCCTTCCTGGGGGCCTGGAACGGACGTCTGACATGAAGATGTGTTGAGGATGTCTCGAGCAAACCACTTGTTCAAAACGTGTCCAGTTCGCCCAGGCGGATGTCTAGCATGAGGTGGCACGTCCATTGGCACGTTCCGTACCGCGTCCCTTTGGCACGTCCCGCGGTGCGTCCCCATGGCACGTCCCCTGGCACGTCGCCTGGCCCGTCCCTTGGGACGTTCCGCGGCGCGTCCTCCTGGCATGTTCCCCTGTCAATTAGCTCTGGGGGAGCTTCTATGTGCTCAGGCAGCTCGAGCTTGAGATCCAGATCAGTTCGGTCAGGACTCGGGTGCAAAGGAGGGCTCGATCCACAGCGCTATCAGGCACAATCGCGGCATGGCACATCGCAGTTCAGCACGGCGCAGCGCAGCACAGCCCTCGGCACGGTACATCAAGATCGATACATTCAGCATTGCGATTTGGCACGTTGCGTGGCGCGTCCCGTGGCGAGTCCCCTTGGCACGTCGCGCGGCGCGTCCCTTGGCACGTCCCGTGGCACGTCCATCGGCACGTCCATATTATCATACACTCAGCATTTCATTTGCCCGTCGCCCAATCAGGTGACTTTGAAACGTTGCCATGCTTTACATTTCTATATTCCTTTCTGGGCTCGTGGATCGATGTCCTGGTTGGCCGAACGCCGCCAGACTGAAGACGGGGGACAAAACTCCTCCCCGCGTCTTTAACGTCAACTCTCGGTATCGTTTAACCGATTCTTACACCCGTCCTCATTCCCATCCCATTAAGCCCATCCCGAGCCACACCATCTCACCACCTCAGTTGGGGATACACCCCTCGAAGTCCGAAGCGAACAGCCTACATCCCCATCTTGTGGGGTAAATCGGCCAGCAGGGCCTAGTGGGGCCCAGGCCACACTGGTGGGGATATCGAAAAACAGAAGACGGCGTAAGCAGAAACTTTTTGGCGGTCCGCGCGGGTTTCTTGGATCTGCGCTGGGGCCCCCTGGCGGCGCCTCTGGCGCCGCCCTTGGCGCGCTCCGCGCGCCAGGGAGGGGGCTCCAGCTCAGATCCAAGAAATCTGTGCGGACCAGCAAAAGCTTATGTTGAGACCGTTTTGGGCTGCTCCACCATAGGGATCGGTGAAACGATGCTCAAATTCAGCGCCCGCCACATGACGCCGGCGCAGCGCGCCCCCGCGGCCCTGGGGCTCGCCCTGGTCCTCGGCCTCTCGGCCGCCTTCGTGGCGGCACCGGCCGGCGCACCCCGCCCTGGCGCAGCGCCCGCCGAGGCGGGGACCCAGGCGTCGGGCGCGTCCAACAAAGGGGGGGTGGCCCTGAAGCTATCTGAGGTCAGGGGCAACGATAGGGGGAGATCGGCTCGGGAGGTGGTGGTTCGAGGTTCGAGGTTTTCGGGCGCTTGCGTCGGTTCTCGTCGGTTGTCCAGCCTCGGGATGCTCTCCAGCAGCTGCGCATCGCTGAGAGCGTTCCAGGGATGCCTGGATCGTCCCGAACGGCCGCCAGAGGTCCGAGTTATGCACCGAAAACCATTGGGGCCGAGGATGGGCATAGGGGAGGATGCATCGACCCCGAATCACCCCCTTACTCATGGCCAATGAGGGTCTGTTAGTCCCACCCCGCCCAGCAACGTGCGGATTTGCCATCGTGGACCTATCGCCGATTTATCGGCGATGTATCGCCGATTCCAGGTCGATGTTGGTCCCCCTAAAAAAGTCTCCCCCTATCGCTGCCCCTCATGAGGGGCAGCGGACGCGATCTGTGTTTCTGGGGCGACGGGGGAGGGGGTAATGCTCGTGGGGTCAGAGCAAACCTGAGCAACCCGGTCGCTGGTAAAAGCAAGCCTAAGGTCGGAGCTTCTCGCGAATGGGGGTCGTCAGGATTTCTATTGACGGATCAAGCGCGTTGGCCGAGCGTATTGGAATCTGGCCCTGGTAACAGCGTTGCCCCGCCCTCCCCTCCCACGTGACCTCCAAGGTGGCCTCGGCCAAGATGTCGTCGCCGAATCTTCCCGAAAAGGGCGTAGGCCCAGGGTGCTCTTTTAGTTGCCTCCCCCCCGGAAGCGACGGCTCTAGGGCCGGCGACATGATTCTGCCATAGATTACGAGGTCAAGTGTTAGTTCTCAGTTGAACAATCGGGGAAACGTAAGACTCGAGTAAGCCGGAATTCGGGTTTGCCGATTTTTTTTTGACGAGGACGTCCTGGATTTTGACGGCCCCGTTTTCGTGGGATGTCTGCAGCGGGAGCCCGCGTCAAATTTCAGATTTGGTCTCGTCATTTTTATGGTGGCCCCCGTCAGGCCAACCCGAGTCCCCTGCACCCGAGTCTTATGTCTCCCCGAAACAAATGTGTTTTTCGCGTGCCCGCTCGAGGAAAGTTTGCCCCCCATCTCGGATCCTCGATAGATAGCGGGGTCCGCAGACCACCGCTCTTCTCCGTAAAAAAGGAAGGTGCGGGGTATTCTTAGCAGAATCTTCAAAAGAAACGAGGTGTGGAGCCCCGACCGCGACGCGGAAAAGCGTCCCGCGCGCAGGAATTTTGCGGATGTCTCGACTAATTCGTTTGTTTTTCCAGGATTTCCTTGGCCGCACAGGAGGGTATCTAACATGTTCTGCCCGAGCTGGAACCATGTCGCTTCACGTGTCCAGGGCACCCAGGTGGGTTTCTAACATGGTGGTCCCGAGCTGGAACCGTATGTTTTCACGTGTCCACGCCACCCAGGTGGGTATCTAACATGGTGGCCCCGCGCTGGAACCGTATGTTTTCACGTGTCCGCGCCACCCAGATGGGTATCTAACATGGTGGTCCCGAGCTGGTACCACGTTTCCCGTGTCCAGGCCACAAGGTGGGTATTTAACATGGTGGTCCCGCGCTGGAGCCACGTGTTTTCACGTGTACAGGTGCAGGCCACCCAGGTGGGTATCTAACATGTTGGTCCCGAGCTGGAGCCACGTGTTTTCACGTGTACAGGCCACCCAGGTGGGTATCTAACATGTTGGTCCCGAGTTGGAACCACGTGTTTTAACATGTCCAGGCCACCCAGGTGGGAATCTAACATGGTGGTCCCGAGCTGGAGCAACGCGTTTTAACATGTCCACGCCACCCATGGGGGTATCTAGCATTGTGGTCCTGCGCTGGAACCGTGTGTTTTCACGTGTCCAGGCCACCCAGGGGGTATCTAACATGGTGTTCCCGAGCTGGAACCACGTGTTTTCACGTGGCCAGGGCCACTCAGGAGGTATATGACATGTGCCTCCTGGATCCTCCCTGGGACTCGGAACGGAACGTCAACAGTTTATTTGTATGTGTTATCGTTTCGTTGGCTGTTTGGCCTCCAGGCGCTTCTGGGCGTTCCTGGGCCCTCCTGCGCCCCAGACGACCGCATGTTAGATATCCCCCCATGGGTGGGCTGGACCACGTGTGATTACGTGTGCAGGCCACCCAGGGGGGGTATCTAACATGACTATCCCGAATTGGAACCACGTGGTTTTACGTAGCCAGGCCACGCATGGGGGGGGTCCCGAGCTTGAACCACGTGGTTTTACGTGTCCAGGCTATTCAGGAGTGCATCTAACATGGTTGTCCCGAGCTGGCACCACGTGTTTTTACATGTCCAGGCCACCCATGGGTGGTATCTAACATGGTTGTCCCGAGCAGGGACCACGTGTTTGAACATGTCCAGGCCACCTAGGGGTGTATCTAACATGGTTGCGCAGAGCTGGAACCACGTGTTTTAACATGCCCAGGCCACCCGGGGGGGGGGTCTAACATGATTGTCCCGAATTGGAACCACGTGGTTTTACGTGTCCAGGCCGCCCATGGGGTTTCTAACATGGCGGAACCATGTGCTTTAACGTGTCCAGGCCACATAAGGGGTATCTACCATGGGCCTCCTGGGGCCTTCCTGGGGGCCTGGAACGGATGTCGAACATGAATATGTGTTGAGGATATTTTGTGTCCAGTTCTCCCAGGCGGATGTCTAGCATGAGGATGTGTTCAGGTTGTGTTGAGCAACACGCTTGGTTGCACGTCTCCAGCTCGGCCAGGCGGATGTCTAGCATGAGGATTTGGGCAGGATGTCTCGAGCGAACCGCTTGTCCCCAGCACGTCCGTAGCGCGTCCCTTTGGCACGTCCCGCGGCGCGTCCCCGTGGCACGTCCCCTGGCACGTCGTTTGGCGCGTCCCTTGGGACGTTCCGCGGTGCGTCCTCCTGGCATGTCCCCTTGTCAATCAGCTCTGGGTGCAGCTATTATGTGCTAAGGCAGCTCGAGCTTACGATCCAGACCAGTTCGGTCAGGACTCGGATGCAAAGGGGGACTCGATCCACAACATTATAGAGCACAACCGCGGCATGGCCCATCGCAGTTCAGCACGACGCAGCACAGCACAGCCCTCGGCACGGTACATCAAGATCGATACATTCAGAAATGCAATTTGGCACGTTGCGTGGCGCGTCCCGTGGCGAGTCCCCCTGGCACGTCGCGCGGCGCGTCCCTTGGCACGTCCCGTGGCACGTTTTGGCATGTTCCGTAGCGCGTCCCTTTGGCACGTCCCGCGGTGCGTCCCCGTGGCACGTCCCTTGGCACGTCGTTTGGCGCGTCCCTTGGGACGTTCCGCGGCGCGTCCTCTTGGCATGTCCCCCTGTCAAGCAGCTCTGGGGAAGCTACTATGTGCTTAGGCAGCTCGAGCTTAAGATCCAGATCAGTTCGGTCAGGACTCGGATGCAAAGGGGGACTCGATCCACAACATTATAGATATAGGGCAGAACCGCGGCATGGCACTTCGCTTTTCAGCACGGCGCAGCACAGCACAGCCCTCGGCACGGTACATCAAGATCGATACATTCAGCATTGCGATTTGGCACGTTGCGTGGCGCGTCCCGTGGCGAGTCCCCTTGGCACGTCGCGCGGCGCGTCCCTTGGCACGTCCCGTGGCACGTCCATCGGCACGTTCCGTAGCGCGTCCCTTTGGCACGTCCCGCGGTGCGTCCCCGTGGCACGTCCCCTGGCACGGCGTTTGGCGCGTCCCTTGGGACGTTCCGCGGCGCGTCCTCCTGGCATGCTCCCTTGTCAATTAGCTCTGGGGCAGCTACTATGTGCTCAGGCAGCTCGAGCTTAAGATTCAGATCAGTTCGGTCAGGACTCGGATGCAAAGGAGGACTCGGTCCACAACACTATAGAGCACAACCGCGGCATGGCACTTCGCAATTCAGCACGGCGCAGCACAGCACAGCCCTCGGCACGGTACATCAAGTCGAAACATTCAGCATTGCAATTTGGCACGTTCCTTGGCACGTTCCGTGGCGCGTCCCGTGGCGAGTCCCCCTGGCACGTCGCGCGGCGCGTCCCTTGGCACGCCCCGTGGCACGTCCATCGGCACGTTCCGTAGCGCGTCCGTTTGGCACGTCCCGCGGTGCGTCCCCGTGGCACGTCCCATGGCACGTCGTTTGGCGCGTCCCTTGGGACGTTCCGCGGCGCGCCCTCTTGGCATTTCCCCCTGTCAAGCAGCTCTGGGGCAGCTACTATGTGCTTAGGCAGCTCGAGCTTAAGATCCAGATCAGTTCGGTCAGGACTCGGATGCAAAGGGGGACTCGATCCACAACATTATATATATATATATATAGGGCAGAACCGCGGCATGGCACTTCGCATTTCAGCACGACGCAGTACAGCACAGCCCCCGGCACGGTACATCAAGATCGATACATTCAGCATTGCGATTTGGCACGTTGCGTGGCGCGTCCCGTGGCGAGTCCCCTTGGCACGTCGCGCGGCGCGTCCCTTGGCACGTCCCGTGGCACGTCCATCGGCACGTTCCGTAGCGCGTCCTTTTGGCACGTCCCGCGGTGCGTCCCCGTGGCACGTCCCTTGGCACGTCGTTTGGCGCGTCCCTTGGGACGTTCCGCGGCGCGTCCTCCTGGCATGCTCCCCTGTCAATTAGCTCTGGGGCAGCTACTATGTGCTCAGGCAGCTCGAGCTTAAGATTCAGATCAGTTCGGTCAGGACTCGGATGCAAAGGAGGACTCGGTCCACAACACTATAGAGCACAACCGCGGCATGGCACTTCGCAATTCAGCACGGCGCAGCACAGCACAGCCCTCGGCACGGTACATCAAGATCGATACATTCAGCATTGCAACCTGGCACGTTCCGTGGCGCCTCCCGTGGCGAGTCCCCCTGGCACGTCGCGCGGCGCGTCCCTCGGCACGCCCCGTGGCACGTCCATCGGCACGTTCCGTAGCGCGTCCGTTTGGCACGTCCCGCGGTGCGTCCCCGTGGCACGTCC